CTTCCTATCGAAAATCGGAACGAACTTTCCGGACAACCTATAATGTTAATACAAAGTGTCAAATGAATGTAACAGAAGTAGTTTATTCCAAATTGTATCACAAGTATATAGAGATAGAGTTCAATTTATCAAATGTACCGATATTTTTGCGCACCTTGACTGCTTCGTTACTTATGACGCTGTGGCTGCTACGATATTTATGAGCATCTTGCAAGTACTCATATATTTGACGCTGTGTATGTACCGATGTTTTTGAGCAGGGTGAATGTATCTATTATTTTGAAGACTTTTGTTGTACCGATATAATTGATTACTTTTGATGTACCTATATATTTGCATATCTTGTCTGTGACGATCTATATGACGCTGACTGTACACAAGTTGGGGACGGTACGGAGGCGGTTTCGACACTGTATAATGCGCAATTTTTAAATTGCTATCACTTTGTTAAAACGCGGAAGAAAAAAACATTTTGTATATAATACATTTTCTATTTTATATACGATATTTCTATGTAAGACTAAAAAATAATCATTTGTAAGGTCACGTCAGGCATTTCGCAGGATGAGACATAACCGATCGATTCGTAATATATGTTACAAATATAACGACATTAGGAACTTGGATTTCGACATATTAAGTGATAGCTTAAGCTTAAGATCTTTTAAAATAAATTGTCTAAATTATAAAAATTGTAGGCAAATGCGTCTGTGCATGTTTATAATCGGCATAGTATTATTATATAAGTATGCGATGGCTTGTCTTAATAAATAAATTAATAATTCATTAAAAGTCTCTTACAGTTTTTATTTTATGTAATAAAAATATTAAAAAAACTTATCCTAAATGAAAACTTTTGATAAAATATTTTCATTAAGTATATAAAACCGAACTTAAGTCTTCTTGTTCCCGTTCTGCATGTATAAGACATCACAATACTCTAACATGTAAAATGCCGTCTTTGATGCCGACCATCGAAAAATGTCCATAATATATTAAAAAAATCTCCGATAAGATGCAAATTCAGCATCCGTGAGTAAATACTTGGCTGCGCTGACATGGCCCTGACTAGTGTTCAAGGACTGCAGCAAGTTGTCTACGATGTTTGCGTATGATTCTACTACATTGGAATTGAGGTCGCCAATGAGATTGTACTTCGAGTTCCAGAAGTAATTAATCCTGTGTGCGCGCAATGCCGTGTAGAGTTTCTGCAGCATATGCTTGAACAGAGTTGCCAAATTATTTCTTATCCAGAAACCGGTTTCTTTATTTTCCGTCACTTCCCAGAGGAATAAGGTCTTTATGTAATAGCTCGCGAGATGAGACATATTTTTAGAGTCGCGTAATTTTTTTAACTGCAACAAAATTAAAAAAAATATTAAGAATACACATTCATGAGTCGTAAAAACAAATTATGTGGTTTATTAAATATTTAAAAAAATAAATAGCTTTACAGACGACTTAATTTTATTATGGCAATAACATTTTTAAGCTACGTATCAATCGCGTAATTATACGAGTAGCTAGTTCAGTTTTTGTTCGCAAGTAAAAAAGGCCGATTCTGACTATTGACTGAAATATTGACTCACCAGTTTAACAGTCAAGCGCAGGTTTTGCCTGTCGTATATCAACTTTCTCTCCTGCTCCTGTAGCGAGATGCGCCAGGAACGGTTCTCGTCGTGGATATCGTTGCCGTGCCGATTGCGCTTGGGCGCCACCATCCAGTGGCCCACGCCGCAGCCCGCGGGGATACTGCGGTACCCCTCCACTGGCCACTGGCTTTCCGAGAACCGCAGCGCCAGCACCAAGTCCACGTCTAGCTTAAAGCCTCTATCGTTCTCTATTGTGAGGGTAATGGCCGGGCCACTTTCAGTGACTCCCACGTTATACGTATTTTTCCTGTCAACATTCTGTGACGTGGCCGGAATTGCTACGTGATTTATGGCCCTAGAGATCACGCTTTGTATCCATTTGGCGTATTCAGATCGCAGGATGTAGTTCTTACTGTCGAGCCACTCGTAGGCGGTTTTGGCCTCGATGCTGTCGGATGTGTACTGCCGGGGGATGCCGCGGCTAGTGTCGTTGCGCAGCTGCACATAGCCCGGATGTTTTGGCTCGATCTGTATGAAGTTGAAGGGCACATCGACCACGATGACCATGTCGTACTCGTCGGGCTTGTTGATGCGCAGTCTATCGAAATGGCTTCCTGCGAACTTTACCTGTAGACCAGAATTAAGAAGTTAATTAATATTAAGTATAATATAAGAAAGAGCATGGTACTTTTTAATTTCGCAACGTTCAAGGTAAGTTAATCCGTTTTACGGTCAAACCCTGCCGCCCGACATTGGATTTACATGTCCAAATAAATTCTTATCTGAGATATTTGTATTTGATTGTAATAATAAATAAAATATGCAGACTAGTTTTGTTTTTGTTTAAACAACTTTAAATTTACCAGAAGTTGACGTAGAGAACGTACCTCACTTGAATACTTGTCAAAATAGGGATCCACCTCCTTCATAGCTTTATGTATTTTGTAGAAAATCTGTGTAAAAACTTCGTAGTAGTTATGGCAGTCCTCTTTTTTGAGTGCAATGTGCCTGACGTAGATATCTGCGAGCACCGCGTCGAGGTTGCGCAGCAACGGCGACGCCGGCACCGACGACGATGATATCATTCTGTTGTTGCATAAATAATATTGTCACACAAAACGCAACAGACACACGGCCTGCCTTTATCAACTGGATTCTCAGTCTTTGATAAATCGTATTACATATATTGTAAATATGTATAATATTATACTTATGTATACTATGTTATTTGACAATCTCAGTATTAATAGATATATTTAATGTCTTATCAAATCACATGCGTTGACTACACAAACATATATTATGGAGGGGTAAGTTTTGTATTTTTGTATAATATATCTTTATCAAATAAACTCAAAAACTCGGCGGATTAAGGCAGCTTGCTTGTTTATCACCTTATATTTAACAAAAAACCAATGAGACTGATTTTACTAATTCTGACTCCTTTTAACTGTAGGTACTGGTAGGTGCATTATTTCTAGTAACATTCACATAAAATTATTTAGAATTTGAAACTCTTACCTGTCAATTACGCATTCAACCAACGCCATTGTAATTTGTAATGAATATCTGAAACAATATTATATTTATGGATACACTACAAAAGTTTTAAGGAAATTCACCTTATATGCATAAAATGTTATTTTAATTTTGTTTAAAGTAATACTAACAACATCTTTGGGTCAGAAACTTACGAAAAATTAATTTGTTTTGGTCTAAGAATTTGCTGTAAATAAAAATATCTGAAATAATTATCTTCATACATGCTCTAATTATAATTACGAAAATCAGAGATTCACATTAATTAAAATAGACAAAAACATTATTTTATCTTAACAAATAATAATAACTCAGGTACAAAGCGAATAAGTAACAAGCATATTTACAACTGTAGCACTTTTTAAGGTTACAAACAGTTCCAAAAACTTACATGTCTAAAATTCCTGACGACTTGTTTTTAGACTTGCAGAATACGTTTTGTTTGCTTCGATACAACGTATATTCTTATATATAGCACATTCTGTTGTGGCGCGTTATCAGAGTATCGTTGCATCAGATTACAGATTATCGGGTAACTACATAAATACAACTCATTCTTTATTAGTTTACGCGGGCCTCCCCCGACACGGAAATAATTTAATAAACTGGTAATTTTGTAAAATGGTAACACGAACATAACGACAACTAAAACTTGTAAAGTACAAGAGTGCAACGACACAACACAACTTAAATCGTACGAATAAAGTTGATTATGGAAATAACCTCGGTGTGTAGTCCGCAAACTGATATCTATTACTATGTAGTACGTGTATTCGTATACAGGCTCTTTGTAATTTTACCAAACAAAGCCCGTTATGTTCACCACCAATAGCTGCTGATAACTCTTGGAGGATACAAGTAATTCCTCTAACCGATAATTAATGTATGAGACCTTTTTGTACAGATAATAAAAAATGTTCGTGTTTATATGTGACTATAATGTAGATGTAACGTTATGAATGCAAAGCAACAGTATAACAAATCATATTCACAAGAGCTACAACTTCAAGTAATAAGTACACAGTTTAATTTATAGCATTAAAATGTATGAAAATATCAGGTTGTTGTTTACTCGTTTGCCATCTAGGTATTTGCCATATAAAAAGATAAAAAGATTTTTTCCTTTCTCTCTTGGGTGTCAAAAGAAATTAGACATATTTTTGCTACCCGAGCGAAGTCGGGACGGGACCCCCTACACATGTACATTTATAGTGTGTCTATTTAAGATAGATTAGTTTGACAATTCACTAGGGATGGGTTGAATAAAATTGGTTATAAAAATTTTGGATTTTCGATGTTTGTTCTCATATAACTCTAGCTGGAAGAAAGCGCTAGTTAAACCTATCCAAAAAAAAGTACAGTGCTCGCGCTAAAAGACCTACACCCGATTTAAATCTTACCGGTATTATCGAAAGTACTAGAGAAAGTAGAGCTGGTGCAAGTTCTAAAGTACCTAGAGAACAATAATATAACGCCAAAGCTTCAATCAGGCTTTCGCAAAGCGCATGGCACTGAAACGTCACTCCTCAAAGTTACAGACGATCTGACGGAGGCATCGGATATGGGGCTTAGCTCCATTATGGTGCTACTAGACTATTCACGAGCATTTGACTGTTTGGAGCCGAAATCGCTTCTATCTAAACTGCAGCATTATCGCTTCTCAAAAAACACGTGTCAATGGTTTCACTCATTTCTTAACGGTAGAGAACAATCCGTTATAGTTGAAAGCAAAGACGGTCTTAAGAGATCTTCCACTTCTAAATCCATCCTACGCGGTGTACCTCAAGGTTCGCTGTTAAGTCCAACTCCTTTTACAATTTTTACAGCTGATTTACCTACACAAATAAAACACTGCAAGTACCACCTTTACGCTGACGACACTCAACTGTACTACTCCTTCGACAGCAAAAAGACAGAAGAAGCCGCTGCCAAAATCAATGAGGACCTAAGGAACGTTTACTCATGGTCTCAAAAAAATTCTTTACTTCTTAACCCAAATAAGTCTCAGATGGTATTCTTTGGGACCAAAAACCAAATAAAAAAAGCGGAAGACTTAGAAACGCAAATAAACATAAATAATGTACCAATTCATAGAGTGGCATGTGCACGTAATTTGGGTCTAATGATGGACGAGGAACAGAAGTATGCTGAACATATTGGCAACAAAATTAAGGCAGCTTTTTTCAAGTTAAAAATCCTATATAAAATAAAACCATATATAAACGAAGAACTAAGATCACTACTCTGTGAGTCCTTGGTACTGTCTCAACTCAATTACGGCAGCGTAATCTATGGCCCTAGACTCAATAACTCAGTTGTAAGGCAAAGAGTATATAAAATAAGAGACGGGACTCTTGACTAATTAGATACACAAACGGAGAATAAAAATTGACATTTTCAATGCTAGCAATATTATGAACAAGTCTACGTTGCTACCAACCTAAAAA